CCACAGGGAGCATCAGCCATTACTTTAAACGGAGTTCCATCGTCAATGGTGTCTCGGATTGAAGGGCTAACTTCATGAACAATGTATAGTCATCACTAGGCCTAGTAAAATTCCATTAACTTCGTCATTTGTATTTTTGGTTGGAGGGAAAGCTACTTTTTTTTTTGCTGAAAAAAGAGGTGCGACAAATTAAAAGAAAAATAAATGGAGATACACACGTATTGAAGTAACAAATGATGAGCAAAGGAACGACAAAATAATGTATGTTATGGAGAGAGAATAAAGAGAAGTAATATTAGAATATAATCATTTCCAAAAAAAAAAAGCAGGACTGTGGTTATTTCCATTTTACCAAAATAATGGGAACCCATGTATGTTATATCTGTGAAGCTATGTTGGTGAGAGAACCATTGTAAATTCACACTTTCCACGAACAAGTGCAATTACATTTTTGCTATTCTGCACGTCATGACCATCAACTTGCAGAATCCGCCAACCAACTACAGTGGACGGGTCAACTACTCCTGCAACCTGAAGTGCAGAAGCAAATGGAGTATCAGATGCACGCGTGCGTGTGTAATTTTCTTTTTCTGTACTGGTAATTCGACGAATCAGTGCACGATCACCGTATAGAGAGAAACCTAATGGTGTATTTGCCTCTGTTCGTTGAAGATGAATTATTATTACAGTAGTTTTCTCTGATTCCTGTGGGATTGATGGAAGCTCGTTCTTACACAATGCTGAATTCTCCATAGCACTTTCTCCAATATTACAATCAGCAGCTATCTTGCCCTGGTTTACCCGTTTTAACCTTCTTAACTTCCGCCGTTTCTTAACATGAAAAAGCAAACTATGCCGTACTGCCATCTGAATTGTTGTCTGCATTCGAGCTAATACGCGAAGATTTCCACGTTTGCGATGCTTTATTTTGCTGGGAAAAAGTCCTTCCACCTCCGCTGCCATTCCAGGATAGTTATCACGGAGAGTAATGGACATGGACTTTGCCCATAACCGCCGTTCGCGTCGCGTTGACTCTGATTTAGACTCTTCCAGTGGCGAGCGTGCAGGACGCTCTTGACGCTTCAACACATGGCTGTAATAACGTAGCACGTTGCTCACCACGAAGAGTCGCAGCGAGAGGTAACCCAATGCTCGCTCAAAGTGACGTGGCACATCATCCTTTGATAGAATCTGAGAATAAGCCGCATCACCATCAGTTCTATCATCATCACTACCACCATTACCAGCTAAAGGTGTTATGAGTGGCCCAGATGTTTCTACCTGTGTGGACTTCAATCTTGCTTGTGTCTCTTCAATCAACTCACGATTCTGTGCTAACATAAATACAACCTCCTGAAGTTGTTGAAGAGGCATCCAGAGAAATGATGGATGCATTACGTGAGCGTGTACTACACTCAACACAGACTGCGCCTGTCGTCGTTGTCTTCTTTCGTCACTGGTTTCACTATTAACGTCAGTACCCGTAAAACACTTCTGCACCTTCGTCGCGCGGAGGTGCCACAGTTGCTTTGCGGTATTGTGATCGAGAGCCTGGAGCACATCGCGTACGTACGCCCTCACCGCTGTATCATCGATCTCACTTGCCGCAGCCTCTTCGGCGGGCCCCACGCCGACTGTGCTAGTGTGCCTGCGATTCTGCAAGAGGGTAAGAAAGAAGGCGATGTCTATGGCGTTTGGGAGTGGCACTCCACAGATGCGACGTGGGTCTGGTGGGTCTGTTTGGGCGGTGGCGTGTGCGAGGGCGACGAGGGCGCGGAGGGCGCGGGGGAGGAGGGCGGCCCCGCCGGCGTCAAGAAAGTGGCGGCGGGGAAGCGGGAGGAGGGCCCCGGCGACGGCATCGCGGAAGCGGGCGGCGGGTGGACCCCCGTGGGCGGCGAGGGCCCGCACGTACGCGTCCACAAGTCCGCCAGCCGCCACCCGCACCGCCGCGGCCGCCGCCAACACCGACTTCCACCCCAAAGGGTCCCCATCACTATTATCCCCATTCCGATCACCATCACGGATATTCGTATGGCTATCAGACCCGTCAAGGTCAAGGGGAATGGTCCAGGTACGGCCAGACTGACGGCAGGCAAGAAAGTACACCTCCACTTCCATCCCAAGAACCGTGCGGCATAGAACGGCGTACGGTACCGCCATGGAGGCAGGGGCACTTCCACGATCTAACTGCCACAAAGTAAACTTTTCTGTTGCACGCCGCAACCATTCAAGAAGAAAAATAGCCTTCGCAGGGGTTGGAGCTATCAATAAATTAGCTCCACTATCCGGTTCTTCAGATTGACAACGAGCATAGCGAATATTAAGAGATGCATGAACCGTACGGTGCGTCATTACACAGTCACTAGATCGACGCTCAAGAGGTGGTGCTATCCTTTCCCATAACTGTTGTATACACGATATAAAATCCCTCTCTAATTGAGGGGAAATAACAACAGAAAGCGACGTCACTGTCTGCAGTAACCATATAATCAAAGAAGGAAATATAGAAATGGCAGAAGAAGCAGCTGCAGTTGCTGCAGAAGATTGAGGTTCACTCGCTGCAAATCGTAGATTATTCATGGTTTCAAGAATACCATCTATTGCACTAATAACAGATACCAAGGATTTTTCGTGTACATCCGTTTCCGTGAACTCTACTCTTCCCTCAAGGGTTTTCTCAAATGAGGAGTTTATTACTTGGAGTAAAGACGATATACAGTTTGTGATTTGTCCTTCAAGCAGTAGCAACTCTTCTTTACTCACAACCATCTTAACAGTTGGACGGGAAATGTGAAACTGAAGCTCATCTGCAACAGATAAAAATGCAGGAACAAGACTAGCAAGAGAGAAACAAATTACACGTCGTTCCACTGCATTACTATCGTCATTATTGATCCTATTAAAATTTTTTGTGAGCAAATTACAAAAAAAATTCTCAAGAGAAGCAAAAGCTTCTACAAGTGCCTTAATTGCTTCGTAGCGCCATTGCTGTATTTTTTTTACTCCGTCCTCATCACCCGCTTTACAATTATGAGAACGACGTTTCCCTTCACGGTGAAGCTCTTGCATAAACTTCCGTAGAGCGGAAGCCAGTACAGTCATTGCACTCAACTGCAACTGCATCTCAGAGAGATGTTCCATGTCCTTGATCTGTACATCCTTCTCCACACGAAGTGCACAGCGGTGCAGTAGACTGTGTAATTTCTCATTCTTCCACTCTGTTATTCCTGTAGTTTCTTTACCTCTTTCATGAGGTGGGGACGTAAACACGGCACCGCAAGCCAACGAGACTTTCTCAAATAGTGGTGACAACTGTGGATGAGTCATGCATGCATTCACCAGACGTGATGGAGAAAAAGTATTTTTTTTCCTCGAAACTACAGGTGTGAATTTCTCGCCTGTAGCAAAACTTTGGAGCAGGTGTTCCATATTCTCCAATTCAAAACCAAGAGAATTCACAAGACGTCGCGCCGCCACATTTTCATTGTTTTTATTATCCATGTTATTACTGGCCTTCCCACTGTTAGTGTTATTCTTGTTGGTACTACTACTACCACTACCACTACCACTACCACTACTACTGCTGCCCTGGTGGCGACAGTAGTGTATTGCAAGCTGAACTGAGGAAAGAGTCCAACATTGACTTCGTCTCATCAAGAAATTTATTTCAAAAAAAAAAAGAATATACTTCCTACTTTGGTCAAGCCTTACATAATAACAAAAAAAAGGGGGAAAATAGTTCTATAAAATGAGTTCAATAACAGAAAAAAAAATAAACAATAAAATAAAAAAAAATAAAAAAGGCATTTAATATCTTTTTTTTTTTTTTTTGCTCATACGTCCATGCACAGATAGTTTATCATCTACATGACTCTCACTAAACTACAGAAATATCCCATATAGAAAGAAAAATGTTTCAACCCAGAATCCCACACTTTTTTTTTTCCTTTCAGAAACAGTTTGGTGCAAATGCGAAGAGAAAACTTAGCCCATTCACCAAAGACACAACAAGTGGAACAGTAGTTTTGTGTTTCAAATAGCGAGCTCCCATTATAGCAGTGAGCAGTAATGTGGTAGCACCTGCAACACGATTAGCATCCTTGTGGTAAGCATTCTTCCATAGAAAAGGTACTGTTAAGGCCATGATCAAACTTGTTGTGGTTCCAGCAATAAAACTCACCTTACTGCCCTTACGCACGTAACCCATCACGCCACCTAGCTCCAGCAAAGCTGCAAGCGTAGCAGCAACAAGTGGAGTTGACATTATTTAAAATCCCTAAAACGTTATTACCTATATCCAGATATTTTTAATTCCTACTTCATACGGTAAAAAAAAAATGATAATTAAGGGAATAAAAAAATTATGTTAGAATAAACTTATATGGAATTCATTTCAAACTAGATCAAGAGAGTACACTACAATCATATTCCATTCAGTATCAATAAGCAAACGGAAAGAAAAGAAAAAAAAAATTGAAATTCAATCTAATGAATGGGTTCAACATCTTTGCGATTCTTCTTCTTCTTCACAGCAACCCATTCCCTTTAACGGGCACGTGTTGAGGATGTTGTATATGTATCATTTGCTGAAATAAAGGTCCGCCACTTCAAATTATTCTTCTTTCGTATATAAAGCAAGTGCTGAAGGTCCTCAGCAGATATATCCGCTGCTTTTGTTGGTTGCTGGCGAATCTCCTCTATAGCTGACGAATAGCCTGGTTGAGAGGATGCGAAGACAGAGTTGTATCTCCTTGAAGTAACACGCTTTGTCCTCACCTCGCGCTGTTGTTCCTGGTGTAAACCATTTGCTACAAGAAGGGGTGCAGAACTTGTATATAAGTTACACCACGCCTCTGGTTGCTTAACAACCTGTGTGGAAGTGGTATAGTAATCAAGAAGTCCTTCAGGGGCGTATTGTAGAGTATCAACACACCACATAGCCCCTTTTTTCTCCTTTCCACTGGTTTGAAATTTTTTTTCTCCTCCGTTAGCTGATAACATCTGTTTGAGCTCTTGTTGCCGTTGGATCGACACACTTCCTTCGTCATGGAGATCTAAAGGAACTTTCTCCTTCGAAGAGGATGTGTCATATTCTCTATTACCACTGTTGTTGTTACCGCCAAGAGTATCTAATGCCCCCGTTGACGACTGCTCTGCGAAAGCCACATAATCTTCGACTGGCCGTGAGAAGACGGATCCATCCTCCTCCTCCACAGACCACATAAGAGACAGACTACACACAACGGCCCCTGTTCCTGCGGCTCGCAGCGGGATTGGGCGAACTCCCACCCGTCGAGTTATACCGCCAATGTCAATATCGTCACTTCTTGCCAAAACGGTGTCCTTCCGCAGTAAAGACACGAAAAGAGTGTCCGTCTCGGGTGCACTGCGAACCGTCAGCGCAGCCGGCAGACTGTTCACGCAACAACGGGCACCTCGTTTGTGGCAGCGTAATTCAAACCATGTTTCGTCAGCCTGTTGTTTCTCCTTATCCTCTGCCCACTCACAGTTTGACAGCTCAAATTGGTACCGAAACATGGTTGATGGAAGTAGTACAGATTCCAATGAGGAAAACACCTACCTTTCCTTCAAAGCAAAAGTACCACTGCATTCCCAAACAGCAGCATGTACAACCAGGAAATAAAAATAAAAAAGGAAGAAAAAAAAACAAAAAAAAACTAATATTTCAAGAAACGTTACAATAACAACAGAGCCAAAACAAGAATTTTGTTGCACTTATATTAACATATCAAAAAAAAAACCCATATCATAAACAATATTCTCATGAGAAGTGCAATGAAAAGTTCCAGAATACATAATACATGCAATGCACACATCAACCAAAAAAAACAATGCAAAAAAAAGAAAAAAAAGGGTACAGTGAAGGTACAGAAAAGGGGAAAAAGACATTCTCGTTATCGTTTCTCCTTCTCCTTCTCCTTCTGTACCGTTTCGTGATGGATATAAGATTCTGAGACATTTATAATCTCCATTGATTATATTTGCACGGCTATAGTATCAGAAACAAAATATAATACATCATCGAGAAAAAAGAAAAAAACAGAAAAGAAAAACACTCTCTTTACAAAACAAAAGTTTACACCGTGAAGCAAGAATTTTGGAAAAGGCTACAACTCATCATTTTCCTTATCACCAGTATCATGGGTGTCCACGTTCTGCAAAGAACTAGACTCTTGCTTTGAAGCATCATCCTCAAGTTCCTTCCAATTTTCTTCTTTTTCCTTGCCCCCTTCGGATTGAGTATCTGGTTTGTCAATCACTGCAGCTTGTGTTTCTGCTTCATCCGCCTCCTTTGGATATTCCTCTTGCTGCTCAGCAGGTGCAGACTCCTGTGGAGGTTCAGACTTCTGCTCCTCCTTATCCAATTCCTGTGGATACTCCTCTTGCTGTTCAGCAGGCGCAGACTCCTGTGGAGGCTCAGACTTCTGTTCTTCCTTTTCAGACTCCTGTGGATATTCCTCTTGCTGTTCAGCAGGCGCAGACTCCTGTGGAGGCTCAGACTTCTGCTCCTCCTTTTCAGACTCCTG